GTTATATGTATACTTGAAATTTGTAATTAATGTTTGTAGTTACAAGATTAAGTGGAAGTGTTGTTAATTGTTATCACTTTTGTTATCACCTTTTTGTTGTAATCTTGTTGTGTACACTTAACCTAAAATGTGTGAAAACTATAACGTTTTTTTTTGTTGTTCTTTCATTATAAAACCTCGTTATGTCTTGAAGTAAAAGCGGAGCTGTTATACTTTTTGTCCTTTACATTAACAACAAAGTGTAGGGCCCCGCGGACGGCGAACGGAGGGAAAAACGACTCTACCGACTGGGAAAACTCGTGTGAAATAGGGATGGGCAAAATACATCGATGTTTTAAAACATCGATATATTAGGTCGATATATCGATATTTTGACTTCGATTATTTGTTTTCGATTAATCGATATAAATATCGATGTTTGTGTTGAAAAGTTTCAAAAAGTAAACTTATTCAAGAAGTTATAACTAGATGGAATAGTACTTTTTATATGCTTGAACGGTTTATTGCACTACGTCCATTTATAAATGATATTGTGAATCGTAATATTTCAGCTCCTATGATGGTTTGTGCTAAGGATATTGAAGAAATTACTGAAATAATTACTGTCTTAAAGCCGTTGGAAGCAGCCACAACAGAACTATGTGGTGAACAATATGTTTCAACTAGTATGGTCATACCAATTGTGCACATATTACAATCAAAAATTGATGAGGCAGTAACCACTCAAGTCCTTAGCCATCAACTAAAAAACGCATTAAAACATGAGTGTTCAAAGAGACTAGGACAAATAGAAAATGTTTCATTTTTAGCAATTGCTACAGTACTGGATCCTAGATTCAAAAGAATTTATTTTAAAAATGCAGTGGCATTATCCAAAATTTTAAATAAAATATCTGAAGAAATCAAAACATATCAAACAACATCTGAAAGTTCATCTGATTCTTCTGAAGCGTCTGGTGAGTAGCTTAAATATAGTCTGTCATAATGTGGGTAAATTTATTTATTGAAATATATTATTAATTTTCAGAAAATAAAGAATTTAGTCTATGGAATAACCATGAGAAAATTGTTCAACAAAGTGGCCGTAGTCGTGGGCGAGCCTCTAGAGAAGAAATTGGTTTTCCATCTGAATTAAATGTATACTTAAAAAGCGCTGTAGGTAGATTGACAGACAACCCATTATTACTATGGAATGATATGACCTCAGTTTATCCAAATCTGTCCAAAATTGCATTAAAATATTTGAGCACAGTAGCTACTTCGGTACCAAGTGAGAGGCTTTTCTCCAAAGCAGGCTTGACAATGAATCAACAGAGGAATCGTCTAACTAGCAAAAAGTTAAATATGTTATTGTTTTTACAATCTATGGATGAAAAATTATGGGAATTGTAATTTTTTTTTTAAATTATTATTTTTTTCACATAGTTATAATTGTTTTATGTCATATTAATTCATGTAAACATTTTATGTAATGAAGATTAAATTATCATTTATAATTTTTTTTAAGCTTTTAATATTATGTTTCATCAATTTTATAATTTATATTATTTTATTATAAGTCATTAATATGTATTTAAAAAATATAAGTTAAAAAATAGTATTTTAACTCTTACATTTATTATTTAA